GTACTCTGCCCACCACGGGTATCGAAACCCGGTTTCTAACGTTGTAAGTCCGCAGACATACGACTGTGCCACTGGAGGGCGAACTGTTAAGTAACATGAAAAAGACCTGTAGTTTGAGTGCTACTCACCAGAAGACGCGTTGCTAGGGCATGTTGTTAGGCCGCCATGATACTTGACGACGGAATTTGTCTACTGCCAGACAACACGACTTTAACTTTATGGTAGGAATCAAAGTCTTAAAAATAATCATTTAATCTAATTTACATAACATTGAATTAAATCCAATACCTGAGAGTTACATAATTGTAGCATAATAGACACAATAGGGTGCGACTGTCTCAGGAGAGCCACAAATGACACTAGAGGACGTTGCTATCTTAGGTGAGGGGTTGACATCATAGTTCGATACCAGAGGGCCTTTTACTATAGGCAGATGCTGTTACCAAGGTTCTATAGGCAGAGGTGTTACTAAGGGTACAGTTTATATAGGCAGTTGGTTTTACTAATATTCTATAGGCGGATGGTCTTACTAGACTTATTGTATGTGTTTTACAAAAGGAGATGATGTTTTTATAGGCGAACAGTGCTACTATATTTCCACAGGATTGCATACAGATTTCAACTTGTGTCAACTTATTTTTATAATTTGCATTTATATATTTAACTGTATTACGTATGTTTTGTAAAGGAAGATGGTGTTAGTAGGTGGATTATGATATTAAGGCTCTATAGGTAGATGGTAAATTGTGTTACTAAATTTAGCACTACTATTGCAGATGGTATTACTATACAGATAGTTCAATAGGATGATGAGCTCATTGTAGGGTGTCTCATCATGTGATTACGTCATCAATGTCCAGTTTTAATCAAAATTGACCATTATTCTAACAATACAACTATTATAACCTAATTATATATGTCACTTTGTATGGTACATATTATCCATTATTTGGGCGAGGCAAATATTGTGTCCAATAATCTTACATACTTTTACAATTATCTGTCTGCCCTGAAAAGATTTTATCATACCAAATGTTTAATTTTTATAAATATTGAACTACACAGCTGATTGTGTTTTTTTATGATTTAGTAAGCTTTTACCGTATTGATTACAGTTTTCGCTTCTATATTTAATATGCATGGCATACATTTTTGAATTTTATGACATTTTATGTATAAAACACTTATTGTTAATTCATTTGTTCTATGGTTTTAATGTCTATATTTAATATATTTAACATGTATCCATCCTGAAAAAGATGCTTATTTAAATCTCTAAATAATATAGAATAATTTTCAATTTTAGCCATATAAGTTTATTTGTTTCACTAAAGCTTAATTTTAAAGTATCTATGTAAATAACTATGTTTTACCATTACTCTTGTAGAAAATTATATTCTTACCTTTCTCTAGATATTTTCATTTTGAATATTAAATGAACTACTACTGTCATTAATATTTATAAGTCAAATCACAAAATTAAGAAGTTTTACATATACTGAAGTATCTATTAACAAAATTTCAATACTGAAACATTTCTTAACAAAATTGTAAGATATGCTAATATAGTATTTACAAAAACGTTTTAGTGTATAAAATCTACAGCCAAATGTAATAATACCGGAGATATATACTTGTTCTAGCATGTTATTAGTCAAATGGAATAATTCACTATAAACAATACGTAAGGAACATTATACAAAATTATTCGGTCTAATGTGATCATAGAGTTTCTTCATTTAGAAACTTTGCAAAACATATCATGCACTTTAACTCCACACAAATTTGACTGTCCCCCTTTGTGCTGAACATTAGATCTTGATTCTCATATTACGTCCCCCCTATTGCTTAAAACTGACGTGTTTTATCATAACCCGATATACTATCATCGATATATGTAAGTAAATTGACAGAATTGTCAAGTATCACACATACTGAAAGCATTTATTAACAAAACTTCAAGATAGAAAAATACGACTTTATCCGAGATTTATCACAAATAACTTGTATACATTCTACTTTTAAAGCTTTTAAGAACAAAATCTGTAAAAGTTCTTGACAAAATATTTTAATTTTATTGCTTCTTACGGTAAAAGACATGGTTTTCCAATAAAGACGATTATTTCACATTTTGTAAATGCATCATATTTACTGTTTATCATTACAGAATATACTTTACATCCATAAATAAGCTTGTGTCCACTAAACTTAACATACTTTAATTTTGTTGCTTCTTACATTAAAAGATGTGGTATACAAGGAAAGACGATTACTTCACATTTTGTAAGTACATCATATTTACTATTTATCATTACAGAATATACTTTACATCCAAAAATAAGTTGTGTGCCACTAAACTTAACATACTTTAATTTTGTTGATTCTTACATTAAAAGATGTGGTATACAAGGAAAGACGATTACTTCACATTTTGTAAGTACATCACATTTACTGTTTATCATTACAGAATATACTTTACATCCAAAAATAAGTTGTATGTCACTAAACTTAACAATTAGTAAAAAAATATCTATTCTTCCACTTGATAGAACAATACAGAAAGCTAAATGTACATACATGAAACTGTCAAGATATGATGGGTAATTAGGATGTTATTTTCTGTTTTCGATCTAGGACTCGCACATTTGTAGTTTAATACTACTCACCAAGATCTATGCATGATCTGTCTTCTTCAGGATATAGTTGTTTAGGCATGTAAAGAAATATCAGTACATCCATCTTACAGTTTGGGCTGTGTTCATCAACTTTTGCTGAGGGTCAATCCTACTGACAGCTTGGTACCTTTGATATTTAGAAATAAACTGAAACATGAATGAATTATAAAATACTGGATTGCCAAGGTGAAATTAACTTTCATACAGGCCTAGTACCTTTCAACTAGCGTTTGAGTTTTGTTTACTTTCTACTAAACTAGACTCTTCTACTGACCTGTGTTCATTAGTCATATGACAGTGAATGACCTCAACTTGATAATCAACCTGTTCTATTGTCATGCAGTATTTGAACATAATGAAAATAAGATCTAATATATTTCGTCTGATATATAACGACACAGAACATTGACTGTAACAGTAAAAATGAGATTCTTTTCACATACATGTTAAATACTGTGATGTTAGATTGCTCTATCATTGAAAAAATAAAAACTGTGAATACCAAAGTGGATATTTTCAATATGGTGATATGCTTGCAAGTTCTCTGATCTCTCAACAAAAGGCATGGTCTACAAGAAATGACAGATCTATCCTTTACATGAAATCAGATTATAAAGAATATTCATATCAATTCACATAAAAACCATGTCAGACATTCACCAACATTTATCTCCAGCGACCATTGTTCAAGGATCATGTTTATTACAATTAAGTTAGTAGTATTCCTACTATATAATATAATAATAGAGTTTTAGTTGTTTACATCTTAAACGCCAACGGCAAATTGTTATAACATTTACAAAAATTAGTAAAGTTCATGTTAGTAACAGAAATATGACAAAGCCATAACACGTTACCACGTGGTTCTGCCTTAAGTTACGGTTATTAACAAACATATGTAGAAATACTATGGTATTCACAGTACTTGTTGTTCCAATGATAGAGTGGCCCGGCATGACCAGGTGGTTAGGGCGCTCGACTTGCAATCTGCGGGTTCGAATCACCGTTACACCAAACATGCTCGGCCTTTCAGCCGTGGGGGCGTTATAATGTGACGGTCAATCCCACTATTCGTTGTTAACAGAGTAGACCAAGAGTTGGCGGTGGGTGGTGATGACTAGCTGCCTTCTCTCTAATCTTACACTGATAAAGTCGGGACGGCTAGCGCAGATAGCCCTCGTGTTGTTTTGCGCAAAATCCATAACAAACAAACAAACCAATGATAGAGTGATCTAAAATCACAGTATTTAACACATTCTCCGACAAATTCTCAATATTTATTAGAGAAGAAGCTCATTTTTACAATTACAGTTAATGTTCTGTGTTGTTATATATCAGACGAATTATATTGGTTCTTGTTTTCATTATGTTTAAATATTGCATAACAATAGAACAGGTTGATTCTCAAGATGAGGTAATGTAGTACCATGCGACTAATGAACATCTGTCAGTAGGAATGTATAACTGAGTAGAGAGTAACCAAAAATTGTACACTAACTGAAATGTACATGTTTCAGTTTATGCTATTCCCAAATATCAAAAGGCTGTCAGGAGAATTTGCCCTGTCGTAAGGTCCAAAGCACACCCCTCCTCGTTGCTGTTTTACATAATCTAGTTAGTGTAGGAAGACGACAATTTCTCAATGTTCGTTTCAACAGTCTGATCACACATTAATCCATAGACGTTGCATCCGGCGACTTGACTGATATGTCTTTGTATGGAATAGCATGAGTACCGAATTAATTCTCTAGCTGTTTGAGGTATGTAATGGTTGAAAGAATATATCGTGAAAACATACAGGTAAAACAACCCCCAACCACAAGCAGTGATTTTTAAATACCTACAAAAGGCCTATTCCAAAGCTTTGTTTAACTAGAAATGGTATTTATAATAAATAAAACAGGACTCATTTTAAAACATTTGCTTTTCCATAAAATTAATCGTACTTGATGAAAATCACATCCAAAGTTAAGGAATTTCATATCTTTTTATTCTCGTGATAATTTAGGATATTTCATTTTATATTTCCTTCTCACATACCATTGTATATTTCTTATTTTAGTTATTACCCCGTCCATAACAGGGTTATCATTTTCGTTCCTGTGGGGTCGTTTGTGTCTGTGAACAGTATATCTCTAAAGGTTTTCACCTGATTTTGATCAAAGTTTTTACAAAGGTTGAGTATCCTTATTGACCAATTGATTCGTTTCTGATGAATGTAGCTTAAAAGTCAAGGTCAAATGAAGGACAACGTCTCTTGTTATAATGATAGCAAAGTGAGATTTTGAAAAATGGTCCAAACTCAAGAACAATTTGAAATAAAAAAAAGAGGATCTTGGCATCTAGAACTAAATTTTTGCGGGTGAATATTTTTGTGTGTTATGAAGATGGGGTTGTACTATTCGAGTGCCTTTCTAGTTAGTTTTTCTAGTAACTTATTCAAAAGTTTGTATTTTTGCCTGAAAATGTTCTTACTTGATTACTTCTAGCTTACTGTTTCATATTACTTTTGCATTTGAAATTAATTTTTTAATTGCCACATTATGCATATGTATTTTTAAACATATACATTATCTAATATTTACTAAATCCTATACTTGACAGTTCTGGAAATAAATGGAGAGCAAGACGAAAAATGGTGACTCCTGCATTCCACTTTCGAATCTTGGAAGACTTCATCGTAGTATTCAATGAACAGAGTCAAATTCTGGTAGAGAAATTAAGACAAGTTCAAAACCATAAGTGGGTGAATATGGTTAATTATGTTACTCTTTGTACTTTGGATGCCATCTGTGGTGAGTATTTATTCACATACTGAATATACATTATATATATATATATATATATATTGTCTTTCTTTTGTAAATAATTTACAGTCCACATAAGTTACATAAAACAAGTAAAGTTTATTGTATTTTGTGTATGACAGGACAAACCACAAATGTAAATCACCTCTCAAGTAAATAAGAAATCTGATGATTTGTTATGTGATCTGGAATGCAAATGGTTGATCGATCATTCGTTATTGGTAAATGAACCTTTGATAGGTGTGATTTACATCTAAAAAATATAATTTCCGTGTAGAGTTTGGACACTAAGAACATGCAAAGGCAATCTGGCACCGTTGTTGCAAACTTAAAATCAGAGTATTAGTGCTTTCCAGAGATGTAGATGAAAGAGTTGTTTTCAGGGCATTTTCAGTGTCTGGAGTCACTTGATGGGATGTAACGTATCTCCCAAGATCGTCCCATATAGATAGACGCTTGATGGGGCGAAAGTCTGGCGAGCTTACAGGCCACTTTAATCAGTTTTTCAAGGAATATGTTGATTAGTTTAGCAGATTTTGGAGGGGAGGGCGTTACCATCTAGTAGGCTGAAGTCAGGGCCAGTTTTACCAATATATGGCAGCACAAAATGTCATACAATGTGAACTTTATTATGTGTGGCATTAATGGTACAATTCTGAAGGATCTACATCACCCTCTGGTGATTTGCTCATCATAACAACGCACCCTGTGAAAGTTGTGGTACCTATTACGTAACAGTTATGTAATAGGCACCAAAGAGCACAACTGTCCCCATACCTGAGGGTTGTATAACTATTGCATAATATATATATATACTAGCAGAGACTCGCAAAACATTTCCGGCCAAATTAGTATATTTATCGTAACAGTACTTCTTTAAATATAACATTTCTAGCACAATACAAACAAATTGTAATCGTAAAAACTTATCAAAGTTTATAAAAAAGGTTTGACGTTAGGTCGTAGAATAACATTATAAGTTTATTTATCAATAGTATTAAGTACAGTAAAGTTTAGTCCAAACTAAACTAAAGTAAAAAAAGAAAGAAAAAACGTACACAGGTTACAGTGTTAATTTATCTCTTTATCGAACTTAGGCCTATATACAAGTGGATTTACACATTTCGTTGTCCTTTACTAACCATTTTGTACAACAGAATATTCGTGACCTATTGGTTAACTTTCAGTGCTGTGGATCAGAGGATCCATGGCTCGCGTCCCGGCCGTTACTAAGAAATAAAAATCGCGCTCCGTACTTTAAGGCATTAGGTGTGTTATGATCGTGTTTCTTCAAGTTAAAAGAGAATGAACATGGCCTGGTGGTTAGCAAACTGAGATGTGATCCGAAGGTACGTGGTTCGCGTCCAGTTTTCAAACTGCAAAAGGCACAATAAGGTTTCGGCAATCACATATGTGTCAAAGAGAATACATAATCCTGTCTTTGTGAGGCCAATTTTATATTTAAGTACCTTTAAAAGTAAGAAATAATGATAATAATAACAATACTATGTGTACTGTTATTCTGCTTGTTTGCATGTACGACCGTTACGCTTTCTGACCGAGAACCTCCTGCATAAGCATGCGTAGTTCTAATGTTTCCCCCAAGAAAAACCGCGCATGCGCATTATTCACTCGACGACAAACAGTCTGCCTGCAGCAGAGAGCTGCAAAGCTCAGTGAGGAAGTCGCTACAATTGCTGTATGAAACAAGAAGTAACAACAAAAGTGGAATGTAAATATTCACCGTTTTATGGATACTGAAGACGTGTATGTGGAAGTCATACAAAACTACAGTAAAAACAAAACAAAAAACAAAAACACTTCAGTAATGCGGGTCAAACTACAGAGTAACGTGCAGCTTAACACGGTTTTTATTACTTCGAAAGATGTTAAAAGAATAGCATTACAACAGCAATATATTAAAAATATATACATATAACCTGTAATATTATGTATAATCCGTATAATGCCATCTGATAGTTGTCTAATATTTAATTTTTTGATACAGTAATAAACTGAAATTTAGACTGGTGACGTTCTAATTCAGTGTTCACGTGCTAGCGCAGGTTTCCTCAACTTTCGTGTTTCTTCTATTTAAAAAGGGCTGGGTTTGAAATACGAGGCGGCCAAAAAAAAGAACATCTCTATGCCTACGTTCTGAAAACATATACCAAGATTGTGGATCGATGTGTCTGATATCGATCAAACCTGGCAATACTGCTCAAAGCAGACGAAAGGTTAAATGTTTTGTTAGTTTATGATGACACGAAACGTGCTGTCTGTATCTTTATAAAGCTGTTGTTTGAAACGTTCTTTCATTTAAATTAAACTATGATTGTTTGTCGTTAAACAGATGAAATGTTTTGTTACGCGTTAATAATAAACAAATTTATAATGAGCTGTGAAAAAAAAGTAATCGTGAACTTAATAAAAATCAAATCAAATTCAACGTAAATATATTGTTTTTTTTAAAGCTTATTACAATAATTTGTATTAATTAGCTTAAATATCTCATAATTCATAAAGATTCGGTTATTTGCTATTTCTTTGACAATTAGTACAAAAACGTGCGATTTCAGAAACAAGGAATTTTAATCACACAGTATAATAAATCAAGACA